TAGAGTTTTTGGTGTCTCTTTCACCTTTTCCTTAACCTCTTCCCGATTCACTTCTTGAATTTTCACCTCCATTGGGAGGTTTTCAGCTTCAACAACAATGGGCACCTCAACTTGTGCCTCAACTTCTTGTTCAGAATCTTCTACTTCGACCACTTGTTCATTCTCTCCTTGAAGTAGTTTCCCACTTCGAGTTGTGGTTTCCATATAATGAGAAGTTAGACCACTCCCACTACCTTTTGGGTTCGCTATTATGTCACTTGGGAGTGTGCCCTTCTGCTTTGGATTTTGATCTCTTGATAGATCTCTTATTTGCAATTCTAACTTTTGTATGGATGCGGTGTGAGAACCCACAAGCTTGGTCATATTCTTCATTGAACTGTCAGATCTTTCTTGATTTTGCAATACTCGTTCAAGCATATTTTCTAACTTGGACTCACTTGAAGAACTTTCCTTCCAATGCAGAGAGTTGGAATATTGCCCCTTTGGTGGAACATAGGAGTTTGAACTCCGATTGAAAAGTTGTTGTTGTTACTCCAATTCCCTTGATTTGAACTACCTTGGTCATTTTGCCACTGTTGGTTTCCTTGCCCTTGTGGGTTAGACCTCCATTGGTTTTGTTTTCCGGAACCTTGGTAGGGTTGTCTTTGATAACCACCTTGAGAGTTGTTGACATAATTTGCTTCCTCGCAATCCTCATTTGACAAGGGTTGTACATCTTCCACAACATTCACCTTTTTTGTTTAGCTTTCAATGAACATTTTGGTCAACACATTGATGTTGGTAGCAAGCCCGACAATTACTTGATCTCTCTCTTGGTTCTCCTTAATCATGTTGGTCAAGGAGGGAGTACCATATGTAATTCCACCTGTAGTGTCTTCCAAGTGCCAAGCTTGGTTATGTTCTGCCATCTTGTCAAGAATTTGTGTGACCCTTGCAAATGTTTTATCCATAAAAGATCCATCGGATGCATTCTTGGCTTTGGATTGGTTCAAAGGATCCAATCCCAAGTAAAACTTCTCCAACAAAATGTTGTCCGGAAAACCATGATTTGGCGACCTCACTAGATATAGCTTGAATTGATCTCATGCCTCATATAGATGCTCTCCCGGTAGTTGCTTGAAGAAATTTTTTTTATCCCGGAGCTCGGACTTCTTGCTTTGTGGGAACCAATTTAGCTAGGAAAGCTCGGACGAGTTCAGGCCAAGAATGAATGGAATTAGGTGGTAGATTTTGGATCCATTTCCTTGCCTATCCGGCTAGTGAGTACTTGAACACCCTCAGCCTTAGAGCATCATTTAAGATGTTATTCTGTTTTTGCATCGCACACATACCCAAGAAGTTTCTGAGATGTTGTGTCGAATCATCATCGGTGATTTTTTGAAAAACCCCTCTGCTTTGAGCAATAGGATTAGACCGTGTTCCACCTTGAAGGTGGCAACATCAACTCTTGGAGTGACAATGGCATTTGTATACTCAGTATACTCATCTATATCCGCAAAAGGGTTCTCTTCATCGAACTCAGCCATGTTTACCTAATTACACCAAGAAAAGCAAGCAAAGTGTGATGGAGTAGAAGAAGACGTAAAGTAAAGCACACACTAAATAGTAATTTCAAAACTGTATTCCCAGGCAACGACGCCAAAATTTGATACGCGCAAATTACATTTAATTAAATAGTGTAAGGCGATTAGTGTCAAATATAATAACCCAACAAGATTTTGGTCGAATACCATAGTGAATAGGTGTGAAAAGGTTACTTGAATAGTGTGAAACTTGACTGAAGTCGTAATTCTGCTCCTTTAGCTTAAAAACATAATGATGTAATTGTGAATTAACAAGATAACTATTTTTTTGTGAGAATGTAATTAATTTGATTAAGGAAACCAAGGTTGTGTCCCTATCAATGGAATGTAATACTATAGGCGTTAATATGATATATTTCTACTGGAAGGTCCTTTGATATGCAAATAGTTTATAATGACTACCCAATATTTCCCAATAGTTGGGTAGTATTTTCTCTTTATGATTTTTTCAAATATAAAAGAACTGCAATTAAGAATAACCAATTTATGCCAAGTAGAACCCACTTATTCCTAAGTGATTCTATTAAACAAGGTTTAAAGCCTTGAGTTTTTGATATTCAATTCTACCAAACCGTAACCCACTTTTCCAAGCAAAGATAGAGCAAAATGGAATTAGTCAATATTTGCAACCACCAACAATAAATGAAGGAAATGAATAAATATCAACCAACCATTATATATATATTCAATGTTAAACACCCATTAATATTACACCTATTTAGGGTCCACAACCCTAGTATTTAAAAGTAGTTATTCATACTAGAATCCAAGAACAAAGCAATAAATAAAGTCATAAAGCTTACAAAGATACAAGATTCACTCTTAAAAAGTTTCCAAAATAATGGTGTATTCAATTCCTTCAATGTAGCCTCTTTTTCAGACCAGATGTCCCACAAAAACCCTAGTAAATTTATTTATAATGGGCCAAAAGTCGGGGTCAAAGTTAGAAAAAATTCCCATGCAGAACACATCTGCGACCGCAGAATGGTCGCAGATCATGTATGCGATCCGCAGACTTGCAAGGTCACCGCATAATTGCACGCTTAGTTGCCCAGTTCCCCATCTCAGATCCATTATACGGTCCGTATATTGATTATGCGACCGCAGACTTCATTGCAAATATGCTCTCACAGAATCTCCTGTTGCGGGCATTTTGCGATCCACAGAAGCGTTTTACGACCGCATAATATACTGCATATTCTTCTCTTCAAAGGCTGGAAAAAACTGCTTCAGTCTGCGATAGGTTTGCGGCCGCACATCACTTCTGTGGTCACAGACTTGCCGCATTTTTTCCCTTCTATGGGTTTTTGTCTTCTTTTCATTATTTTTGGTTCTTCAAGTCTCATACACTGCAAAACACCAAAACTTCATAAGGAATAAAGAAAAATGCTTTAAAAGACGAGCTAAAGTCTATGTAATTAGTATCAAAAGTGTCGTAATTCTACAGCACATCAACAAGTGCTAAACACACACTTAAATATGCTCGCTAGTCGAATATACTAAAATTAATATCATATCCACAGGGATTGGAGTTAAGCAGTACTATCGTAGTCCTTAGTTAGATTGCTATCCAAGATGATCCACAATTGATATTTATATAATTAAAATTAAAATTAACTAAGAGTCTAAACTATTGGCTAATAATAATCGACGAGTAATGAGTAAATAAGGTTATCAATTGGAGAAAATACATTTGATAAGATAGGTGAAAGATAACTGTTTGGGATCTAGTTCTAGATAATTCACTTTTAATATTCAAGTGAGTCTCTCGAATTCACTTGGTTATTAATTCAACTGCTTAGTAGAAACTCCTCTCTCGATTAAGTCTCAACCTCACAAGATGAACCAATTTAAGACACCAAATCTATCAAACTCTGAATAGAACTACTCTATAGATATGGAGCAATTCATCACAAATATATTTAAGTTAAAGGAAAACATAAACGATCCAAACTCTTGCTATCCTTGTGATTTTGCGTCTCCGCCTCCTCCTTAGCTTCCTTAGGTCTAAGATGTGTCAAAAGTCTTTAAAATAACGGACCCAACTGAACCATTAAAACTCCGATCCGAGGTCAAATACTCAGAAGCCAAATTTGGTCAACTCTTCCAACTTAAAGCCTCTGAGATGAGAATAATTCTTCTAAATCAATCCCGAATCACCCGAATATCGAAACCAACTATACACACAAGTTGTAATACATCATACAAAACTACTCATACCCTCAAACCATCGAACGGAATGCAAATGCTCAAAATGAACAGTTGGATCATTACAAAGATGTACCACAAATTATAAAGGTTGCATACACTAAGGGTGCAAAATTCAAATAACTCCTGATTTATTGTATAAAGGATTTAAATGTATGATTTTGAAAAGTACGAATAACACTATTGTATTTGTGCACAATTTTCATAATATAGGTGTTTACCTCAAATTCGGATAACAATTGAATTTGTAAGTGGTTTTAAGGATATATGGATTAAATTGACACACAGCGATAAATTAAATTGCAATTAGAATAAGATATGATAAAATAAGTTCAAACCACGCGAATTAGACAGTAACAACCTTGGGAGGAGGTCTTCCTTGAACAGGGTACACTTCAATCATAGTTGAATAAGAACTTAAAGAGACATAACAGTATATTGCTTCTGAATGATTGTTACAATGTGTTTTATAAATAATTAAACTCCCTTTATATAGTAGGGGAATCCTACTTTAGGTACAATTCTATAAAAGGTAGAAAATCCCATGATTTGCTAATTAGCCGGTCTCTCATTGATATGTGCCGAGATTTCCCACGTGATACTCGACTGATTACGAATATTTCGGCCTTCTGTTATCCGATCTGACAATGTTTCTTCAAGCTCATTCGGTGTCAGGATCAATTCCGGGATCACGGACTAGATGTCCTTAAAGAGGGGCATTCCGACCTCGAGCCTTAGTTCGATGGAATCCGAGGTCGATCTTCAACGGTTCACGTTTCAATCCCGACCTGTCATCCAATAGGCAAGCCTGATTTCGACCGTATACAATAGGGGTGTAGGTGATTGGTTTAAAATACGTGATTGAATCATATTATGAAGGTATTTATAGTAATTTACCCTAACTTATATTGAAATGATATTAATTTACTAATAAGAATTAACCTTGACCATGTATTTTTTTGTGAATTTAGACTGTTAAAGAAAGTCCTAGAAGGTTATTAATGTTTAAGATCCTAATATTCTTTTTGCATACCAGTAACATGTGAGGATTTTTCACTTACAACTCACACAACGTGGTTATAAACAACAAATATAGGTAGGCTAAATCGCAAAATAAATGTAAATTAGATATCAACTTTTGAGTCTTCATCAAAACAAACTCATCAATAAAGTCATATGTAATTTTCGTGTGTTTTCAGTATTGGTATGATGGATCTATTCGAAAAGGCTGAGAGCGTCCGGCTTAGAAACCGGAAAGACAAGTACCTAATAGCGATGGATGACAAAGAATTGGTATCACAAAGTTGGAAAGGATCAAACAATGATGCAATTTGGAGGGTGGAATTTGTTGAGGGAAGACAAGACGCTCTTCGGCTTAAAAGTTATTTCGGGAAATACCTAACAGCTACAAACACACCATTCATTCCAGGTGTTTCTGGAAAAAAAGTCATCCAAGCTGATCTACCAGAAAAGATCACATATCCATCGGCCGAATGGGAACCCATAAGGGATGGATTTCAGGTGCGTTTCAAATCATTTTGGGGGACGTACCTTCGACCTAATGGAGGATTACCACCATGGAGAAACTCCATTACACACGACGCCCCAAATACTAATAGGACCTACGAAAAAGTCTTATGGGATATTGAGGTTGTCGAGAAACGATCTTTATTACATCGACGAACCAGGTCTGATTCCACCTTTCATAGATTGGAAAATTTGGCATTTATCAGATCTAATTCAAATTCCATGGCCTCAACTCTTGTTTCTCCAAAGCCAAAGGCTAAGCTTGGGGAACAAGAAATCAGTTAAATCAACATTTACGTGTATCTGCATGCATGCAGGTAAAACAATATTAGAGCTTTTAAATTTATATACGGAATTGTGTTGATAAAAAAAAAAACATATACAGGAAGGATGTATATCAATCTGCCATATTGAAGTAGATTGAGATTCGTGTTTTTAGTTTCTTATGTACAATTCTATATTTTATAATTAACTATTCTATGTTTTCTCTTGGTGATTGGTATCCTGCGCCCAGCATCTACCATGTTCGTCACAAAAAAAACTGGCATAATAGAAATATCATAAATCTAGGATTTTCAGAGTAATTTGGAAAAAAATGTTTTTGATTTTGTGCACTCAAATTTGAGTTTGAAAAACAAGTAATCAAAAATTGCAATATTTGATTTTAAAGACATGATTGTGTTTACGATCTTTAGAGTTTCTTCATATCTTGGCAGAGTGTCATCTGATTCTTTGTTTTGGAGAAATAAGTACTACTACAGGAACACTTATTTCTCCCTGGAATTCAACTTCACGAACCGGAAAATGAAGGGTATTTTTTCAAAATCATTCGAAAGTAACTTCCGATACATTTGTGCTTTGCAATAACAATAAATATCTATCGAATAGGCTCAATATTCATCACTTATGTTTATATTTTTCTCTTCAAATTTTGTGTAAGTTGACGAACACATATTTTGATATTATTTATACTACTTTAAAATACTTTTCTAATCAATATTCCAGAAACTAGTGATAATATTAGTCTATATATCGTTATTATGATTTATATTTTTGATAACTACATCTCCGAAATAAATATACTCTAATAAGTAAATAAGATGATTTCTTGTGCTAATCGAGAGAGTACATTTCGAATACGTGTAAATTAATCATTGATGTTAATTTTACTTTTATAAATGAATTATGTACAAGTAGTTTGTCACAATCCAAAATTCCACCGAGTCGTGATGACACTTAAACCCCAAAATGTTAGGTAAGCCAAACAATGAATAACAAAACTCAAATGAAAGATCATCAATAACAACAAATAAGAAGGAGAAAATTCATACAGTTACCACAAAGATTGGTAGTACAAGTCATGAGCCACTAAGATTTAGAGTTTTAATGTTGCTACAAAGAAAATACACTATCTGTTTGAATATACATAAGTAGAAGTATAAATCCTAACCCACCATGAACAAGTAGTTGTTCCTATCAGGAATACGGGTGCATCCTCAATGCTGGCTTCTGTCATCCATAGCAGCTCAGCTCCAAGATCTGCATGCAAGGTGCAGAAGAGTAGTATGAATACAATCGATCATATTTATTTAGTAAGTATCAAGACTAACCTCGTTGAAGTAGCGATGAGGATTTCAAGTCATAGAGTACTCACTTTACTTAACCTGTACAGCTCAATACTGTCACGACCCAAATGGGAGGGCTGCGACGGGCATCCACGCCTTACTTGTTGAGCACCAATGTAACGTATTCTTAAATATACGATCATGCGTAAATGGGTTAGAAGGGCCGTCGTGAGATAATACGAACATAACATAAAGAATACCCGGCAAAGGATAACCCCAAAAATGATATACATGAGATATACATGCCTAGGCCGAGGAAAACATCTATACACATGACGTTTGTCTCAAGCCTCTAAGGAGTACATAAATATCATAAGGTTGGGACAGGGCCTCGTCATACCCATAAACATATGTACATATGTATACTGACTCAAAAGGCAACTCTAGAGCAAGTGGACTGCAACAATACATTTCGATGAGCTTCTACCCAGCTGGAAGGACCAGCAGCGTGTCTATCAGGACATATGGACATGAAAGACAACGTCCCCAGGAAAAATGGACTTCAGTATAAATAAAGTACGTAGTATGTATGGAATAAAATAACATAAGGAGATATATCAATGTAAAAGAGGAATAAGAAACTTAACATTGGCTATGTATTGGTATTGAGGGCATGATATGCATGAATACAATATTTACGCGTATATAGCGCCATCATCATATATATNTATACCTTCGAAAACGGTATGAGACCAACATTGTTATCATTACATGACTCTTTAGAACTTACAAATCATAAGAATAGACTTTATGAAGACAATACTACTTGATCATTAATCATTATGGAGGTTTCTAGCTACTAAGAGTGGAGTCGTGATGGCGTAGCATTTCGTTTACATTTCTTTCATATAGATCATGCCATGAGAGGAAGGGTAAGACTTAACTTACCTTCGCAATCTTCTCTCCAATTATCAACCAAGCCCAATATGATCTTCTTACGTCTACGATGAGTAAAATGACTTCGTCATCATCATATAAGTGACGTAACTCTCATATTTTGACAATAATATTCTACAAGAAAACATACAACACCTCCTCTATTTATACTACATCCCATGAGTTACTAAAAGTCACCAACCAACCCAAACATAATAATACAATTCACAATAGGCTTTTTGATTACTTTAACAACCATTTTGAGAGGCAATCTCAATTTATGATTAACAAAATATAATTTAAATCCAATTCTATCACGATCCAAACTCTCACATGAGCCGTGATGATGCCTAACACTGCTTTCAATACAAGCCAACAATTAAACAATGAAAATAATTTCAACAATAGAACTTAATAATCTCAACAGCAGAATAATCAAAAAATATTTGAAATATCAGCAATAACGCAACTATAACCATCCAATGATCTGGTGTCAACGAGCACATGAGCTCTATCCAATTTAAATACATAGTCTAATCCTCAAATACAGAACTGTCCAAATGATAGAACAGTGATAACATAAACAAAACAGAAGGGGACTGATGTTCGGCCAAAAATGCATATATTTTTTTTATTGTTGCCTCATGTTCTAGTACTTTTTAATCGTCCTTTGAGTGTTAATTATATTATTTTGTGCTTAATATTATAATATTACTGTGTAGGAATAAAGCAGTGTAAAAATTAAGAGATTTGGAGCAAAATTAAATAAAACGCGGAAGAAAAAAAAAAAAAATATAAAAGAAGAAGACAAGGAGGGGGACACCTTTGGTCTTTGTCCCTCCAAATGAAAGACAAAGAAAACAAAGGAATTACATCAAGCAAGGCAGTAAAGAAGGCAAACAAAAATGTAACGCTTCAAGGAAGGAATTGGAGGCGGAAAGTTTACTGGTTTCGGCGCTAAGGCTAGCGCCTCGCGCTGGCCTGTACGCTGCCTGTGCAGGTTTTCCTATTTCGCCCGGAACAACGTTATTTCGTTCCTACACGATTCTAACTTGTATATAAGGGGTTCTAAACCTAATTTGGAGGATATCTAACAAACTTTGAAGGGGAATTTACGTGGAAGAACACACACCATGCTTGGAGGAGGCTTCTAACTAGTTTTTCTTGTCTTCTCTTCCTTTAATTTTATAGTTTCTTAGTTCTAGAGTTTTGGGTGCTCATTGAACGTTGTAGTTTGAAACTTGAATTGTTCTTATTATTTTATCATATTCGTTTATTTATTCAATCTTGCGCTTAATTATTTGATTGCTTGATTACCAATTGAATACTATCTACGAATCTAGGATTGAACTCGGGAGAGGGAATTCTAGATTGCATATAAGATTGAGTAGAGCAAGATCTTAACTCTTAGGGAAGGCGGATTTGCAATTAGGATAAGAATATACCTAATCTCCTTGCTTGGTTACTATACAGGAATTATCAATGTGTTCTTGTTAATTCTAATTCCATAGGAATATAGGCGTTAGGTTAGCTTGAATAAGCGAGTTGTACTTTGGGAGAAGGCTACGAGCCTTGTTAACCCCGTCAATCAATAAACTAGATAAATTAATTAGACGATTTAAGTGGAAAATTCAACGGGATTGTTAGCTAACCCAAAGCTCTAGAATGTTCACTCACATTGAATTCGTCTCTATAATTTTCCAACTTGTTTTCTTTAATCTCTTAGTTTGTTACGTTAGATTAGTTTTAGCTAAATATTCATACGTTAGGATTCGCTTGAATAGATTAATTGTTTGGTTTAATTTAGTTGATAGTTAATCACAAGTCCATGTGGGTACGATATCTGGACTTACAATCCTATATTACTTGTCGACCACGTATACTTGTGTGTGCGTTTGGGAGCAACAAGTTTTTGGCGTCGTCGCCGGGGACTTAGAAATTAACTATTCTACTAAATTAGACTTTTACTATTATCTTTACAAGTTTTATTTTTTTCTTTGTAAACATTTTTAATTTTATAAATATTTGATTGATTTTTCTCTTAGTGTATTTCTAGTTCTCTCAGCATGGTATTTGGGGCTGAAGCATACAGAGATAAGGTTATTGATGAAGACGCATGGTTGACGGAAGATTTTTATGGCCCGTATATTTGGGCTTGTCATGACCTGGCATCTTGGAAGTCTGAATTTGAATGTGGGAGTAAGGGTTAGTATTGTGATGAACATTATCGATTAAGAGAATATGCGCAACAACGTTGTTTGCTAACACCGTTGTTAAATGATTGGTCTAAGGAGAGAGTTGATCTTGCACAAGAAATTGATAGGTTTAGCTTGGTTGTGCGGAACTTGGATGCAGATATGAGTGCAAAGGTTGATGTATGTAACGCCCAACAATTTAGTGATAAGTTGTGTGAAGCTGAAAAAGATCTTCTAGACCAAATTGAGAAGCTAAAACGAGAAAACCAATTATTAGACCAAAATATTATTAATGATGCCAAGGTTGATGAAGAGTGAAAAATTGAGGATGTCAAAGATAATGCAATTTTGGAGTTGGAGCATATTGGACGTCATTCTAAACACTTTTCAATATTGTGTTTGGTTGGTGACATGAAAATTGATCCATTCGAGCATATGGAGGAGTCAATAGATGAGGAACAAAGTATTTATATTCTGAAATTTGCCATACCGAGGAGGCAAAACGACATCCCGCACTTAAGGGCCAAGAAGTGCAAGATGCGATATGTATTGCTTGTTTTTTTTATTTTTACACCACCGCCCCACGAACATGATACAAAAGTTGATGCAACATTGGGGGCGCAATTCATATCTTCAAAGTGGAAGGAAAAGCGATGAAAGTGATGGCGTCGTGCCGCGACGTTAAATCAAGCGCTTGTTGGGAGGCAACCCAATTCTATTTTTTTATTTTTCTTTTATTTATTTTTTATTTTATTGTATTTTTTTTTGTAGTGTTGTTTTTATATTTTGTAGGAGTACGAGCAGGGAGTCATAGCCAATAGGCATGTGCAAAAGCGAGCAGGTGGTTGAAACTAAGTGTGAGGTACCCACACAAGGGATCATACCTGGGAGAAGTCTGAGTATCCCGTGAGTTGCTAATTCTTTGGCCTTTGTCTTACCAGGGAGTCTCTTTTACCTTCTTGTTATTTTTAGTGTGCATTGAGGACATTGCAAAATTTTAAGTGTGGGGTGAGGAGATTGTCTGGGTGATTATCTATGCTATCTTAGCTTAGTTGTAGTGTAGTAGTTTTTTGTTAAAAAAAATAAACAAAATGAAAAAAAAAATAAAAAAATATCAGAAAATTGAGACTTTTCCTGATGATGGATTTTTGTGGACAACTTTCTTGAGGGATTAAGGTCCAATAAAATAAAAACAAATCTACAAATATTTTCTTTTTGTTCTAGTTAGTTTTAGTTAGGTAATAATCTCCCTTGATTTTTCTTTGTGCATCGGTTCTTTTCCAGGGGATATAACTTAAACCAGGTAATTTTTTTTTTTATTTTTAGGATTAAATTATTTTTCTTTATTTTAGGAGTAGAAAAAGAGAGAGAAGAAAAAAAAAGTTTTGTGACTTGTTTGATACTAGCATATTTAGGCCTGAGCTTGAGTAGTACTTTCCTCTGAGTGCTTGAGTAATGAATAAAATAGCAAACTTTCGACGCCTAAGGGGTTGTGACTCTGTATATAGCTTATTCTTATTTTGTCATTCGCTATGACCCTGTCTGTCGTAGAATAGAATTGATCCATCTTGAGTGATACTTGTGCCATGTGGGGTGAGGATTTCTTACATATATTCCATGTTTTGCATCTTAGTCTAGAGCTTGCCCTGCATGTTATTGAAGCGAAATAAAAGTGTTGCTTTGTTTAGAAGATGATAATAGGCTTTCTTTGATATGTCTTGTGAATTTTAGCCTTTTCAGAAATGTACCACTAGTTAGCCCTTTGAGCATGTAGCATTTTGTTTGGAAGCCGTATTTTTGCCTTGATCCTTTTGTGGAATTCCTAGTTTTTGCACCCTGCTTCCTTGAGCACTGTTGCTTAGGCTGTGTTATTAATTGATAAATTTGAAGAATGGGATGATTAAGTGAAAAATGGTAATCAATGATGGCTGAAAGGTGATGAAAAGGCCTTCTTGAAAAGAATGCGACATGAAAAAGAAAAGAAAAAAAGGGGAATGAAAAAAAATTGCTTCGAAAAAAAAAATGTTCTTGACGTAAGGAAAATACTTGTGAAACAATTGATGAAGAGAGGGCTGAAAAATAAAGTGAAGAGTAGAAAATAATGGGTGATAAAGTCTAAAAGTGCAAAGTGCTTAGGGAAGTGTAAGTCACTATTATATAATTCTCCTACCCGTTCCTTAGCCAACATTACAACCCGTTAAAGTCCTATTTGATTCTATTCGAGCATACTTAATTAGTAGAGATGTACATAATGGGCAAATCTATAGTTCTTTGTGCATACGTGTAAATTTTTTTGTGAGTGCGAAAGTTGTTCTTTGATACTAAGTCCTTAAATTATATTCATTCTTTGATTTGAGTGTATGGACTATTTTTTGTTGTGAGGGCACTTGTTTCATGATAGATAGGTGATGTTATTAGCTTCTTTGACAGACTACGTGAGCGAGCTTAAATTTGGTAAGTTAGAGTCTGTCTCTAAGGTTAGGAGGTTAGAAGTTTGTTGTTTGTTTGTGACTTGTATATCTTACACGATGATGAGGAAGTGTATATATAATGGTCTGAGTTGCTATAGGGCCTAATTGTTAGTATCTACCGAAGTGGTGGTGTTTTTAGGCTTGATATATTGAGAGTGATTTTAATGCTTACTCGAGGACGAGCAAGAGTAGTGTGGAGTGTTGATGTTCGGCCAAAAATGTATATATTTTTCCATTGTTGCCTCATGTTCTAGTACTTTTTAATCGTCTTTTGAGTATTAATTATATTATTTTGTGCTTAATATAATAATATTAATGTGTAGGAATAAAACAGTGTAAAGATCAAGAAATTTGGAGCAAAATTAAATAAAACGCGAAAAAAAAGAAAAAAAATATAAAAGAAGAAGACAAGGAGGGGAACACCTTTGGTCTTTGTCCCCCCAAAATGAAAGACAAAGAAAACAAAGGAATTACATCAAGCAAGGAATTAAAGAAGGCAAACAAAAATGACGCTTCAAGGAAGGAATTGGAGGCGGAAAGTTTACTGGATTCGGCGCTAAGGCTAGCGCCTCGCGCTGGCCTGTACGCGCTGGCCTGTACGCGCTGGCCTGTACGCTGCCTGTTTATGTTTTCCTATTTCGTCCGGAACAAGGTTATTTCGGCTTTATACGGTTCCAACTCGTATATAAGGGGTCCTAAACCTAATTTGGAGGATATCTAACACACTTTAGAGGGGAATTCACGTGGAAGAACACACACCACGCTTGGAGGGAGCTTCTAACTAGTTTTTCTTCTCTTCTCTTCCTTTAATTTTATAGTTTCTTAGTTCTAGAGTTTTGGGTGCTACATGAACGTTGTAGTTTGAAGCTTGAATTGTTCTTATTATTTTATCATATTGGTTTATTTATTCAATATTGCGCTTAATTATTTGATTGCTTGATCACCAATTGAATACTATCTACGAATCTATGATTGAATTCGGGAGAGGGAATTCTAGATTGCATATAAGATTGAATAGAGTAAGACCTTAACTCTTAGGGAGGGCGGATTTATGGTTAGGATAGGAATATACCTAATCGCCTTGCTTGGTTACTATACAAGAATTATCAATGCGTTCTTCTTAATTCTAATTCCATTTGAATATAGGCGTTAGGTTAGCTTGAATAGGCGAGTTGTACTTCGGGAGAAGGCTACGAGCAATATTAACCCCGTCAATCAATAAACTAGATAAATTAATTAGACGATTTAAGTGGAAAATTCAACGGGATTGTTAGCTAACCCATAGCTCTAGAATATGCACTCACATTGAATTCGTCTCTATAATTTTCCAACTTGTTTTCTTTAATCTCTTAGTTTGTTATGTTAGATTTGTTTTAGTTAAATATTCATACGTTAGGATTCGCTTGAATAGATTAATTGTTTGGTTTAATTTAGTTGATAGTTAATCACAAGTCCCTATGGGTACGAAATCTGAACTTACAATCCTATATTACTTGTCGACCACATATACTTGCATATGCGTTTGGGAGCAACACGAACTCCAAGGTCTGCAAACGTAATCAGCAACTACGTCGAAATCTCCAATGATCTGGTACAGGTGCCTCCAGCTAGCAATCACCTCTCTTACAAGTACCTGGATCTTTACACAAAGTGCAGAATGTAGTATGAGTACAACAACTACATGTACTCAATAAGTAACAAGCCTAGCCTCGGACTGAAATAGTGACGAGCTTGGCAATTGCCCAACATCCAATACCCAAAACCAATCAAATAATATACAATATCAATGGTAAAGAGAAGTGATAATAACGAGGTTAGGGAGATCCCAACTTTATAATAAAATATTATAAGTGCGGAAGAAAAATAGAAGAAGAATCTAAAAACTAGAAAACAAAGATACATGAAGTTCAAGGGAATAGTTCCAAGAACTCAAAGAATGCAAGTTCGGAAGATCGATAAGATCCAAGTAGTTGAAATAAAAAAAAGAAACCCACACCTGTGAAAACGAAAACGCTCCTCCTTCCCTTTAGGATTTTCTATGAATAGTACCGCCGTAACTATTCACGGCCCATAATTCCGGCGTCCGGCAAGGTAAGATCGCAAGATTGGTCTCAAAAGAACCCCCTTCTCTTTGCGCACAAACCCCAATTGTTTTCATCCTCAAATTCATAGCCTTTTGTAAGAGATCTTGAATTTTAGTTCGCGGTTACTGTAGCACGCAGCTCTTTTTTTAAGAAATCTTCATCGCTACTGCTTCTACTTCTATGAAAATGGAGTGTTGAAGAACTCCATGGATCCATCGACATCTCCCCAGCCTTTGGCTATGGGAGAGAGTAACCAAAATCATAGCGACCATATTCCCAACAACAAGACCCAACAAACGTATGCCTCTCATTTGATTACA